CACACACACATACACACAAATAGTGTGTGGGTGTGCTTTGTCTCTCGGGTTTGTTTGACAGTCACATAGTTCTCACAGAACTAAATGGGGGGTGTTTGTGTATATGGAGTGTGATACATTGTAGTGTATGATTAGATGTATTTATATCTGTGTAAAGATAGTTTAATGAAGACTTATATTAATGTATGAATAATCCAAACAGAATGTGAGAGAAATCATGTTTATGCCCTGCGTGTTTAAATGTTTTTCAATGAAAGGTCAGATCATCAATAAGACCTGGCGGGCTGTGTATACTGCAGCTCCTCCGTCTGTTGTGAGTGTGTTTGAGACCTGAGTGGACAAATCGGTGCCATTACTGTCTTACATGGTGTTTATGGATTGTTTGTACTCGCCATACCTGAATCAAATCTTAGCTTCTAATGTTATATTCCACGGTTCTCTCATAAATCATATTTTCTTCCAGTTTTTGTCTCTCTTTACTTTTCTTATCACTTCTCTCATAAGTGATGGTGATCCAAAAGAGTAAGATTATTTCAGTGTCTGTTACTTGTTTCTCTGCAACTCATGTATTATGACAACCAAATCCTTTCACTGTAAAGATATTGCAGCTGAGCTATTCTCATACAAAGTCCCTACATGATTGGTTGAGGTCGTAATGATCATAACGACCACTGTTTCCAGATGGCATGCAGGGCTGACTTGAAAAAGGCCACAATTTCCTGTCCAAACATGAATATTGTTTACTTAAATTCCTGCTTGGTTATTGCTACTGTTGACCTTTAATAGTTGTAGATAGCCTTCAAAGCAAATGTTTAGGTTAAAAAAAGAGCTTCATTAATAGAATTTGAGATAGTGACAGTTGTTCCTCTTGGTCTTCATTCTGCATTGTCACTGGTGAAAAAGGGAAGTTGTTGCTAAATCAATGAGATATATTTTCAGTTTTTTTTTGTTAACAAAAGTAAGGTGGATAGACAGTGCTAGTTTACATACGACAGGTACATACAGGTCCTGCTTACTGGCGTATCAATCCGAGCTGCATGCTGTAGATTCAGCACAGAGCAGAAGGACGTTGGGGGGGCTGGGCAGAGAACTCAGCACCCCTAGCAGCAGCCTTTAACAGGTTTCAGAAAGCAGCAGCAGCTTGTGGTAGTATGCATGACTAAGAAGGATGTGGTGTAGATAGTTGTGTTGTCAGTGTTTCACACATGATCTGATGTTGTTTAGGTCTGCTGACTGTCCGCTGATGTGATGCAAATAACGTATATTTGAGTCTGAACTGACAGAAACACTGGATTGCCTTGTTTTATTTCAGCAATATTTTAACTTTACATTAGATACCAACCAATATCTGCTGTCGAGAGAACATGTGGTACCGATAGACATTCAAAAATATATTCAAAGATGACCATAGCCACATCTGAAGCCTATAGGAGGTGAGTTTTAGATTCTAAAAATTTAGACTTTGTCACTCACGGTAACACACGTCCACCCTAACACCTTTATTTTCATCTTGATGATTGAAGGCTGCACTTGAAGAACAGAAACGTGGTAAGGGGCCACAGATCGGACTTAAACGCACATCCCCTACAGCAAGGACTCAGCCCTGGTACATAAGCTCTACCAGGTGACCTACCAGGACACCCCAACCCTGATGTTTCGAAGGTGGTCTGCAAAGTCTGTTGCAGTGAGCCTGGCTGGGTTTTGCATATTGTGTAACTGTATATAAAGCTGCCTCGGTGTCGTTGTAGCTGTAAACAGTAAACTGTAATACCTCAGTGGGATTGTGCTGTTTTCCATACACTAGAAAGAGTGTAGGACTCAATGGGTGGTAGCAGCTTGTATTACATAATGTGGTGTTTCTAAGAAGTGTGTGTGAGTTTACAGAATATGTCATACTTTTTTGTGTTGGGAATTTGCGTGTGCACGTGCTTCATGTTCCATTTAATGAGCTGGTGAGCGCTTATTTCCTTAATGGCTGTTTGTGCTCTAATGCTTCCACATGATTGGTTTTATGTGTGTGTGTGTGTGCATGCGGTCCTAAATGAGTGTGTTAATAATGAGTTGGGTTTCAGTGTGTAACAGGCTGTTGAGCATCCTCCACTGTCTCCTCACAGACTTAATGGACAAATTATCCCTTTAGAGAGCTTGAGAGGGATGGAAGGGGGACTGAGTGGCAGGAAGTGTGAGAAACAGGGCAAATAGGGGAATTGGGGGGGGGGGGATTTGGATGGAGGAAAAAATGCATGATCATTTGGATAAGAAGGATGGTGAGATGAGAGATGGGAGGAGGGAGAGGTGAAGGAAGATATGAAAAAAAAGTGGGGGTGGAATTCATAGGAAGAGGGAGAGACAAAAGGGGGAGAAAGTGAGTGGGAAGGGCGTAGGAAGGAGAGGACGATTACATATGATTTCCTTGAAAGTTCCAATGAAAGTAACTCATAGCAAGTGCAGGGAAAAACAACATGTCCTTCGAGAGCAGTAACAAAAAAGTGCTGTTTTCTCTGTGGTTTAGTAAAGTAACTTGATGTTATATGAAACACGCTGTATAGAGAACATACAGTACAGTATATAGCAAGAGAACAGAGGGGGGAAGAAAGAGAAAGCTGGGTTTTAAAGAAGAGGAATCAATGAGGGGAGAGATTGAGGAAGGATAAATTAGGGCAGAAATAGAAGACATGCATGCTCTGTAAGTTCTCCATAATGTATTCAATCCACCATTCTATTCAGCATCCTAAATATAATCCTTTTATAGTGTATATGAGGTCTTGTTGTGTATACTGGAACATGATGTGCTGTTGCTGATGATGCCAGCAAGGCAAATCGCAGTACATTTTTTTTTTTTTTTTTTACGTTTTAAAAGAATTCGATCATGTTTTTGATCAAGAGGACTGCAAAAAACTCAAGTGGTATGTTCCCACAAGCAGAGGACATTGCATATATTGTGATAAAAAGAATAAATTAAACAAGGCAGATGGTTGAAAATGAATGAGAAAGGTATGCTGGAATGACACTCGAGCAGAGAGGTGGTGGGTGAGATAATGGACATGGAAGAAGAGGTAGAAAAGAGGCGAGAGAGAGAGAGGAAGAGGGAGGGATAAAATGGTGTAGGCACGGGGTGTAGATTGCACCTGAAACATGCCCATAAAGGTGTTGTTTGCTGCAGCCATTAGCAGGTCTTAAAATGGAAAAATGTATGTATTTATGAAGAGGACTATTCAAGCCTCCCTTTGACTGATGGCATCT